TGGAGGAAAGTGTTTTATGCTTTGTGTCTCTTTAACTGGAGGAAAGTGTTTTATGTTTTGTGTCTCTTTAACTAGAGGAAAGTGTTTTATGCTCTTTGTCTCTTTAACTGGAGGAAAGTGTTTTATGCTTTGTGTCTCTTTAACTGGAGGAAAGTGTTTTATGCTCTTTGTCTCTTTAACTGGAGGAAGTGTTTTATGCTTTGTGTCTCTTTAACTAGAGGAAAGTGTTAAGGCTATGTGTCTCTTTAACTGGAGGAAAGTGTTTTAGGCTATGTGTCTCTTTAACTAGAGGAAAGTGTTAAGGCTATGTGTCTCTTTAACTGGGGGAAAGTGTTTTAGGTTATTTGTCTCTTTAACTGGAGGAAAGTGTTTTATGCTATTTGTCTCTTAACTAAGGGAAAGTGTTTTTGCTGTTTGTCTCTTTAACTAGAGAAAAATGTTTAGGCTATTTTTCTCCTTAACTAGGGGAAAGTGTTTTAGGTTATTCGTCTCTTTAACTAGAGAAAAATGTTTAGGCTATTTTTCTCCTTAACTAGGGGAAAGTGTTTTAGGTTATTCGTCTCTTTAACTTGAGGAAAATGTTTTTGCTGTTTGTCTCTTTAACTAGAGGAAGGTGTTTTATGCTATTTGTATCTTTAACTGGGGGAAAGTGTTTTGGGTAATTTGTCTCTTTAACTAGAGGAAAGTGTTTTGGGTTATTTGTCTCTTTAACTAGAGGAAAGTGTTTTAGGCTATTTGTCTCTCTAACTAGAGGAAAGTGTTTTAGGCTATTTGTCTCTCTAACTAGAGGAAAGTGTTTTGGCTATTTGTCTCTTTTACTAGAGGAAAGTGTTAAGGCTATTTGTCTCTGTAACTAGAGGAAAGTGTTGAGACTTTTTGTCTCTTTAACTAGAGGAAAGTGTTGAGACTTTTTGTCTCTTTAACAAAAGTGTTTTAGGCTATTTGTCTTTAACTAGAGGAAAGTGTTTTGGGCTACTTGTCTCTTTAACTAAAGGAAAATGTTTTTGGTTTTTTGTCTCTTTAACAAAAGTTTTTTAGGCTATTTGTCTCTTTAACTAGAGGAAAGTGTTTTGGTTATTTGTCTCTTTAACTAGAGGAAAGTGTTTTAGGCTATTTGTCTCTTTAACTGGGGGAAAGTGTTTTGGTTATTTGTCTCTTTAACTAGAGGAAAGTGTTTTAGGCTATTTGTCTCTGTAACTAGAAGAGAGTGTTTAGACTTTTTGTCTCTTTAACTAGAGGAAAGTGTTTTGGGTTATTTGTCTCTTTAACTAGAGGAAAGTGTTTTAGGCTATTTGTCTCTGTAACTAGAGGAAAGTGTTTAGACTTTTTGTCTCTTTAACTAGAGGAAAGTGTTGAGACTTTTTGTCTCTTTAACAAAAGTGTTTTAGGCTATGTGTCTCTTTAACTGGAGGAAAGTGTTTTAGGCTATTTGTCTCTTTAACTAGAGGAAAGTGTCTTGGGCTACTTGTCTCTTTAACTAAAGGAAAATGTT